AGATATTAAACAGAAATTGTTTGCTTATTACTGTTCAAATATAGTAAGATGTGACCAGATCATTTAGAATCCAGTCTCTAACAACAAAATATCATGAATCTTCAGTCCTCATGCCTACAGTCATATCATGTCATAGAATGGCTTGGGTTGGAAGGGACCCTAAAGACTGTTTAGTCCATGTCATGTGTGCAGGTCCCAGTGTATGAAACACAGGAACTATTTCAGTGAGTAGAATTCAGGTCACATTGTTCACCTAGTTGTAAACCATGGAAAATGTATTATGACTAGCTAATGAAGCCCTACTTATGCAAATGTGGCAGGCTAAAATTGAGAAATAAGGACTGTTTCTGCCCATGGAAGTTTTCTCAGAATTGCATTCCCAAAGCTCTCCAGTGGACCTGGACTCCACCTCCAGACACTGATAAATTCCAGTACATGGGCTAAGAAGTCAACAAACAAAACTCTCCCTTCTCTGCAGCCATAACCAGAAATAAATGTCTCTCCCAAGAAGTTCAACACTTTGTCGTGCACTCCTATATGATCCAGATTACTCTAAGACATTCAGCCACTTCGAAGCTTGAGATGTCTGGTGTAAACAGCTTAATTCCACAGGGCAGCAATTAACTGGCATCGTTTAATCATAATGGGACCTATCTGTTTCATAGTGATGTTGAGAGGACTAATCAACTATTGCATTTCTAATTCTTTGCAACATCCACAACAAATGATGTTATTTCAGAAGTACAAAATATGTACCTTGTTACAAGAATTTAAGAATTTGTGTGATACGCTGGTAATAAATGTTTGTGTTGATAAACAAGTACTAATAACTGAACTGATTTAAGTGGTAAAGAAGTATTCTGCTTTTTCCAAGCTTTTTTTTTTTTTTTTTTTTTACCAAAACATAAAAAAATAAAAAAAAAAAAAAAAAGGCAAGTCAGATTCATCTGATAAACCACAAATATCTACAATGCTGATACCTTATCTCAGCTGATGTCTAGCCTTCCCTTAGAATCAGGAATCAGGGGAGATGAATGGAGATATGTAAGGTGTGAATCATCCCATCCTAACACAGAGGTGTATAAAACTAATGAATTGCTCCTCATAGACAGACAAAGTGGGTCAATTATGCTGACAGTCACATACACAGGAAGTCAATTTACACATAACAGCCACTTAAGAACCACAACTCCTCTTACAAAATGAATTCCTCTTACTACAGTGATATATGTCAGATACTCAAATTAACTTTGTAAATTTAAAGGCTGTTAAATTACTTTTAATGAACGAAGAGACAGTGAATGGTCACTTTACATACTATACCACATAAGTTTCCTTTGCATTATTAATTGAAGAAAATTATTCAATACTTAAAATGTAAACTGCAGTATTGTGGGGGATAAGGAACCTCACTTAAAGTCAGCAGAGAATGGCAGCAGAGATGAAGTTGCCAGAACATGTTTCTCTTTTGCACTGTATGAAATCATCTAAAGTTATTTCCATGATGATGATTTTGCTGTAAAAAGACATGCCTGTTCTGGTTCTCCTGCTTGTTATACAAAGCTTAGCTATTATGCCTGTCAGAACTGTAGATGGAATTGTCAAGTACCCAGACAGATGGATTGGATCTTTTTCTTTTAGTAAGGATATGTAAGTTATTACAATGTACAAGCTTTCTGAATGGCTTAATAAATATTTTAAATTTGCCAGAGGTTACTGCAATGTCTACACTTTCCTAGTGTTATACAGATTCTTAAGAAGCAGTGGTTAGTTTTACATAAAATAGATATTTTCCATCCTAATAGTTGTTCAATGACTGATAATGATTTATTAAATAAACTAATATTTTAATAGGAAGGAACTGATTACATCATTTTAAAATATATTCTTGCTGTTGGCTGTTACAATTTCCATCCTTTTATAAGTGGGAAAAATAAATGAAAAATTAAATCTTATGGAAAAAGGTTCATTTTGTTATCCAGTATTCTACCAGAAGACCATGATGTGTTGCATAACGCAATTAATGTTCACAGATTCAGGAGCCAATTTCTTTGAAGGCTATGGGTTTCGTTACATGAGAGATGTTCAAAGTTTAAAAGAGCATTGCCCCCACCTCAGTGTTGTTGCTGAGCATGATATTATATGGCATGGAATACCTCTTTGGTCAGTTTGGGTCAGCTGTCTAGGCTATGTTACCAGCCTCCAGCCTCTTGCCCACCTATAGCCTATTTCCTGAAGAGTGGAAAACAGAGAAGGCCTTGATGCTAAGAACTGTGGAGCAAAAGCTAAAACATTGGTGTGTTATCAAAACTGTTTTGGTCACTTACCTAATACACAGCACTACACAGACTTCTGTGAAGAAAATTAACTCCATCTCAGCCAGACTCATTACACTTTGCTTCCTTTATAAATAAATGGAACATCTTGGAAAAACATTGAAAACATGTTGAAAACATGTTGCTACCATAAATGATGTCAAGTTATGTATGAGAATGTAGCAACTGTCCAAGGAGAAGCATCTGGATTTGAACAGAGAGCACTGATGTTGGTTTGAAATTCCTGATGGAAGGTCTCTCCCTGCCAATCATTCGACTACCTCTCTTTCACTTCTGCTCTGTTTTGAACAGTGTGAATTTTCTTCCATCTAGAACTTAATGAGAAACTTTTTTTCCTGTTGGGCAGTGGGACAGAGGGATAGCACAAATGCACATAGAACATAAGTATCAGAAAAAAAGACATAAACTAAAACAAAGGTCTTACTTTGATGAGTTACATTTTGTGGGAAGGGCAATAAAAAAGATTGTAAAACAGGCTTTGAGAGAGAAGAATTTAAAGTATATAGACTGCTTCATGTAGAAATTGCAGGGCATATAGCTTGAGCAGGAAAGGTGATAAATCTGTCATGAGAACAGTTAACAAGTCAAGCACTGATGCATCATTAGTAATGATTTGCAGGAGCCAGCAATGAAATTATGCCTGACCTGTGAGATCTGGAAAAATTCAGCTTCTCTAGTCTATGTGTGAATCCTAAACTTGCCCAAAGACCGTATTGATGTACCTCCTATTCAATCACATTTTTGTTTCCTTGCAAAGGATATGCAAGATAGATAGGATCCATAAGATGGCCTGACCAGGTTTTTGCATTGTTGACCAGAGACCACCAGCCTCAAGCCGCGCTGTAAGCTAAGCACTTGCAGCTCAGATTACATACAGACAGAGAAATAGCTCAGGTAACAAGGTCTGTTTGGTCTTGAAGAAAGGCAAAAGCTTCTATGGTAAATTAGCACAGCAGAAAGAAGTGAAGAAACATAAACAATAAAAAGCAGTTATTGGAACAGGCCACATGAAAGTATGAATAAAACACAGATTTAAAGGCTGGAAAGTTTATCTGAAATGTTAGCAGAAAGGAACTGTCATTTGCCAAACTAGATGATAATCTTCTAATAATCTGAAGGACAAGCAATTTCAAGTTTATTTAAAGTGTGGACCAGAAGCTTTGCTAGTTGGCTGATCAAGCAGTGAGCTTAGCTGCCAAACAAAACAAGCAATTCTGGGCAGAAACTGTACATACTTCATTTAATATCCAAAAACGTAGTCTCTTTTGGTGAAGACGGAAAAGGTTTTTCTGTACAAAAGTTGTTTCTGTCTCTGATAACACAGATTTGAATAGAAGCTTGTTTTAAATCTCATCCTGTGCTGAATGACTTCACTCTAATCTATTTTATGATTCCTTTAAAAAAAGGCATTATTTTGGATACTAACATATTGGAGCTTTCCCTCAGAGAAACAAGCCATGGCCCTATTTAAAGAAAAGTATTTTTCCTTTTGATATTTGTATGTAATCGTCCTTGGCATTCCTGAGTTACACCTGTTCAGTGACAGGAGAAAGAAGTAATAGCTTGTAAAAAATGCATTAGGTAGGTCAACAGTCAGGTCTGATTGCCTGTCTGTTATTCATCTCTAAGGACTTTGGGACATTTGTCATGATAAAATTCATATTAATCCCCTTTCCCAATCTACTAAAAATGAAAACAGCATAATTCAGCCCAGCATTATATACACTCTTTCCTAATCTCAGTTTTATATATTAAAGCCCATTTCCATTACATTTTCAGTAGGAAACATCAGCCACGTGCCTGCCAATGCAGTTGGTGTATGTAAAGTTAGCCCTTACTTTGAAAATAAAACTGCTCATGTGTGTAGGTTGCTCTACAGAACTACCTCCCCAACTACTCTTTTTTTACTTCCTACCACATTGTAAAAGGCAAGAAAATAAATAGGGTCTGAAAGTGGGTAGTGTTCAAAGATACTGAAAACAGCTTTCTTAACTTAGCCTTGGTTACCTACTCCCTTAAACTGTTTTCACACAATGTGGACTAAGCTGCGTGTCGTCTTCTGATCTATGCAGCTAGCTCAGAGAAAGTGAGATCTGGCTCGTTTCGGCTGTACCATTTCCACAAGAAAAGCAGAATATCCCTGTAGGGAATAAATCTGTTCTAATAAGCTCTTATTTCACTTGCCAAAGGAAACAGAAGAGAGTTGCCTAGAGAAATTCCAGGTTTCATTTCTTCTCCCCTGTTACTGTTAGACTGAGGTTACAGCAGCTCCTAGGGTAGATGAAAGACTGGCAGGCTTCAGATAACTAGATTGTAGAGGAACCGCAACTGCTCCCTAAAAGCACTGCTTCATACTAACCAAAGGGCACGATTAAGCAGAGGATCTAGCCACTACCACTGTTATGTTAAGGAAGTCACCCTTGATCGATGTCAAGGGATTGAGTTTATGATAAAAATTATATCTAGTGTTGAATGTAATGGAACTCAGGGCTCAAAGGCTTGCACTGAGACAAAATATTCACAATAGACAAATGATGAAATACTGGACCTGCCCAAATCCATTAATTTCAACAATTGATACAGTGTATTACTCACAGAGTTTGGATGCATATGAAAAATTAAAGATATACTATCGACACTGAACATTTCCACAGAAACTATAGTATGACGGATGCCAGCAAAATTATGAATGGTGTTGGCAATGTGAGCAGAGCCCATTATTCAGCAGTCAGAGAAAAAGAATGAAGGAAGACTTAACAAGACTGTATGGTATCTTTCACCCAGGGCACAGTTAACTTCTGAAGAATCTTGCACAAAATGTTATGGATACTGAAAGAGAAATGGAGTCCAAAATGGATTTGCAGCATCATAAAACATTATTGAACATGTTAGGATAGATGCAGCCTCTGGTTCTTCAAGTCCCTGTGATGCTGGAAACTATGAAGCTGTTCCTGAGGAAAGTTTTCTCCAGGTATGTCTTACCAGTCATACCCTTTTCCTAACCTCTTTTCTCCATTCTACCACATAAGGTCCAGGAGAGGCACATCTACATTCCAAATAGACTAATATATGAGATCAAAAACACTCGAAAAAATGGAAATATGTGTCAGAAATCTCAGCAACTTGTAATCAGCTTATTGTGAAGCATTACTCCTCTGAGAAGAGAATCAATGCTATTTGAAAAGATAAGGACAAATTTTTTCCTGTATACCATAACATTCCAGCTGGAAGATGTGACTACAAAATTGACATAAAATCATAGCTTTCAACATGAGGAGTACATAAGACTAGGAAAATAGATTATAAAAAAAGGTTTTTGTAACAGCTGGTTTTCTGCTGAAGCAAATTTTTCAACTCCCACAACAGACATGCTGGATTCCAACTCATATTTCAGCATTCAAGAAAAAAAAATCTGAACTGTCTCTTAAAATAATGAAATCTGCTTCTCCAGTCAGTGGTATTGTACCAGGGAAATATCAGCTGGAGCATTGGTAGAGACAGTAGTTTAGACATATGTTGCTATCATTCGATTGTTGCAGACATTCCTGTTATGATAAAACAGCACTGGATAACGCCTTTGGTCTGAACCACATCTCTAAACCATGCAGACATGGTACTATCCAACACTAGAAGTTCCATGAGCCAAACAGCCTTGGAAGTGGTCATGGTTCACTTCAGCAGCAGCACGTCACTGGCAGAGTTTGTAAAAACAAATGACTCTCTTTGTTCTGCTGTATTAGCTTTTGCCACTACTACAGTGGCATAAGAGTACGGTTGCCTGAGTGGGTTTGCCAGGGGAATTATAAAATTATGGGAGCTGTTGCTTTGGTTCCTCATGTACCAATGAGAAGGAACAACAAATAGCTGATCCTTTAAGAGTTCCCCAGAAAACGAAAAATACACCAGTAATCCCTGTTTCTTGTGTCTAGTGGCAGAAAAATAAATCCTCTATTTCTGAGCCTTTCTACTCATAAAACATTTTTTTCATTTTCTGGAAACATTCCAGCTTTATTCTACTGGTACATTTGAAAAATAGTTTTCTAGCAGTTTTCTAAAAGATCTCTTTTTTAATAAAAAAGGAATTGAAAACTATCAGAAAGTCAGAACTCAGAGGTAAGACATTACATCACACCTGGATCTTCTAACTAATTACAGTGGTGTGAATTAACACTATGGAAATTATGGACACTGTGGAAACACAATATTGAACCTGGTTACTCAAAGAGTGAAAATTACATTGGCTGAAATTACATAAGCTGAAAATTATACATCAGAGTATTTTCAGAACAAGTGATCTACAGTTTTAATGATGCTGTGAATTAGATACTCACTTTGACTAGACAACAGCAATTTTTTTTAAGTTGGGTTCTTAGAAACACTAGTGGATCTGGACTCACAGGGGAACTACCTGTCCCTTGAATCACAGTAATAGCGTGGAGAATGTTTTCAGTTCTCTACACCAATGGAGAAGTTATGTCTGGAAAACTATTTCGTGCTGACAGAAAAGAATGTCTACCGAAAAGAATAGTCTGAAAAGAGGTCAACTAAGTAGTTTTATGACTGAACAATTATGGGTCTATTACACTTAGTAAGGCATCTTGCTGTGGTGAAGTACTTACTTCTCATTACTGATGGTCTACTTAATGAATTTTTTAATTATTGTTTATAATTAAGTGCTGGTTTAAGTGCTTTCCATCAAAGGGTCTGCATTCCCAGATGGCAACCCTGGACTAAATGTGGGCTATGCCCAAAAGCTGGCTTCATAACAGCAATCGGTGACAGTTTTAATGGAAAATGAATTCACATTTTTGCAATTACTCACTTAAATTATTTTTCAATTTAGTTGTTTTAAGCAATAAAAGGTAGGATATCTATGCAAATATGTACTTGTATTGTATTTCTTTATAACACACTTGAAATATTGAATTACAGAATTGGAAATGGTCTCATGAGGTCATCTAAACCTTCCAGCCTGCCTCAAGAAAGGGTGAAGTACACCTCTGCTATTCCTGACATATCCTCTTCCAGCCGGTTCTTTGACAGCAAGTGGTGTAGACCAACATATCAGAGGTTTTCCTCCACTTCTTCATCATCCTGGCAAACAAAACCTTCATAATCACCACCCTCAACATCATTCTTCTCATTCAGCCCCGTTACTTCTATGTCTGCACAGCGTGGTCAAGGAGGACAGATTATACCCTTCAACTTTGCAAGCAGCTTTTCACGTACTTGAACATTGTTATCAGGCCTATTCCCCACTGTAGCTATCTCATCCTTCCTCTTCTTTTTGTCCATGACCCTCTTCTTGCTGTTCTCCTCAGGTTTCTTTCTGATCAGTAAACACTCTTCCAATGAATGATTGCCCAGAGTGGATGTACCTGCAAGTACTGAGCAGAGCAAGAGAGATTTCTGCAGGTGTTGTTAAAACAGTGATGAGTCAAGTGTTCAGTTGATCAATGTAAAATATAGCCGATAAGTGTTATCCAATAGATGAACCATTATGAGACTTCTATGAAGTAAATGTGAGAAAGGTACATAACTGTACAGAGCTGTACTTAGCTCAAGTGACCAGGGATCAAAAGCTGGAGGTAGGACATGCAGTGCTAGCACGACACATGTGGACACGTCTTCTGTGCTCCTGAACGTCATCCCTGGCGGGCTTCATGGAAGAGCCACATAGGCCACATAGCAGGCAAGGAGTGACAGCAGAAAACACAGGCTTATAGAAGCAATTGGTGTGAAATTTGTCAGAATTGATAGTTTCCTATGAGACAAAACGGTGAGAAGGGTGAATGTGACCAGGGTGAATCTAACTTGCACCATGATATAGCAGAGCTACAAAGTCAATGTGGGACCATGCCAAGCATATTCCAGAGTATTTCAGAAGAAAAAGGCTGAATGCACCTAAGTTGAAACTAGTTATTTGGCGTGCATCGCCCGGCCATGACGGTGGCTGTTTGACTTGACTGGCTTCAGCCCTTCGTGACAAGGGAGCCGCATTAAAGCAGACACACTCAGAAGCACGCTTGTTTTTATGTATATCACCGGGGAGGGGGACACGATGGGGTGGTATCCAAACTGTCCTGCGAACTCCCTCGCAGTTCAGCTCTGCTTCTCCCCCTTTCCTCCCCTCGGAGCGGCAGCGGGACCGGGCGCTGCCTGAGGCGAGCAGCCCCGGCGGGGAGCTCCGGAGCCCCCCCTCAGCCTCAGCCCCAGGCATGGCGCCCGCCCCGGGGGCCGGGCAGGGCCGGGCCGGGCTCGGCGGCGGCTCAGCCCCGCGGTGGGGACGGCGTTAGCCCGGCCCTGCCCGTCCCAGCCCGGCCCGCCCCGCCGGCCCCCCGCAGCACATGACCCGCCATGGAGGCGCGCTGGCGCTGCCCAGAAGTTTGGAGGCAGGGGAGCGGGCAGCGGCTGCCGGCGAGGGGGCGGCGGGACCCGGCGCCCAGCCGCGGGCGGTGCAGCGGGGCGGCGGGCGGGCAGGTAAGGAGCGGCCGGGCTGCCCTGAGGGGAGGCGGCGGCGCCCGGTAACTTCGGCGGGGGTGCCCGGCGGCAAGGCTGTGGGGTCGGGGGGCTGCTGCGGGGCGAGGTTGCCCCCCCCGTGTTGGTGTTGTTGCGTGTGGGGGGTCGCTGGCAGGCGGCGGAGCTGCCTCAGGTGCCGCTGCCTCCTCCTCGGCAGCCCGCCCGACCTCTGTCCCCGGTGGAGGCACGGCAGGGAGGAGCGGGGACGGTGAGGCGTGCTAGGGGCAGGAGGCAAAGCTTGTGAAAGTAAGGCGGTCCCGGGCTGCCCCGCCACCCGCTGCCCCGTGGGGCGATCTGCTCTGTGGCTCTGTTGTGTTTTCAATCCAGGAGAGAGTGGGCTGCTGCTGGCAGCTCCAGGATGAAGTCGCCTCCCTGCTGCATGTCTCTTTCTTCCCAAGCGTCCCTGGAGGAACAAGGGAACAGCACGTCCCTGGGCTCCCTGGACTCCAGCGTGTTCTCCAGTGAGGAAGAGCAGGGGCCCCTGCTGCAGAAGGCCATCCCCTCCTTGGACTGCTTTACGATCAATGTAGGAGGCAGCCGCTTTGTCATGTCCCAGCAAACTTTGTCGTGCTACCCTGACACCCGTCTCGGCAAGCTGGCCGTAGTGGTCTCTGCCGCCCGGGATGTGGCCTCTGGCCTCCTGGAGCTTTGCGATGATGCCAACCTGGTGGAGAACGAGTATTTCTTTGACCGCAGCTCGCAGGCGTTTCACTACATCCTGAATTACTACCAGACGGGGAGGCTGCATGTGATGGAGCAGCTCTGCGCGCTCTCCTTCCTGCAGGAGATCCAGTACTGGGGCTTGGATGAGCTCAGCATCGATTCCTGCTGCAGAGACCGGTGAGCTGTGGGGAGACACGAGGTGCGGGAGCGTGGGCTGGGTGAGCTCAGCGCTGGCTTGTGTGCAGGGATGGGCAGGTGAGAGATCCAGCAGCGGGGGCAGGTGAGGTGGCACAGCACAAGGAGAAGTATGGGCAAATCCAGCACTGAAACCTACTTTAGAGGTAGGTGGGAGTAGGCAATGGGAAGAGGAGGTGTGTTTTGTGAGGTCTCTGTTGACCTATGATACAAAGGACAGGTTGGCAGTGGGGGCAAGATAGCGAGACCCTGACGGGAACAGGGTCTGTTTTTTCTGCATCATCTTCAGATTGGCCTTGGAAGCTCAAAGCAGAAAGTGACAGTGCTGGAGATAGGAAGGGTTGTCAAGGCAGAGATGCCCTTCAATGTCATTCGTGTTGGGGTTATCCTAGCCAAGGGGAGCAGATGTGGAGTCAGGAGGGTTTGGAGCCTCCGCACGCTGTCCTTTCCATTCAGGATGATTTCTAGATCCAAGCTGGAGAGGCAGAAGCAGGGAGCGGTCACCTGCCAGGCTGAGTGTGGGTGGCATGGCTCCAGGAGGAGCCCTGATGGCAAGCATCGCACATGGCTGTAGCAGCTCACAGGGAGGGGGCAGCAACAGTGGGAACGTGGCTCAGTGGAGACCAGTTTTAACAGGCAGCTTAGGAACTAGGTGGGTTTGGACTGAACCACCCCCAGGATGTTTCTGTTAATGCTATTTGAAGATATCTTTTCCACCATTTTTAGCATTACTGGTTTGTTTGTAGTATTGAAGAATGGAATCCTCTAAAGAGTATGACTGCTATTTATCTAAAGTGGTTATGTCAAAATTATTAGAAAGAAACGATCAAGCAACACCCACCCACCCCTCTGTCCTCTCTCCTACCATCCTAAAAAACAAATGCTAAAGTTATCCTATCCTGACATGACTCACTTCTGCATCTCAGAGAGAGTTGGATCCTACTTTTCATCCCCTTCTTCCTTCAGTGGTAGGTGTAACTGGAAGATCCTACTTCTTAGGTGGTACAAGCAGCTATGGACCTCTTTGGCATGTTCAGGAGTAACTGCATCAAATGAAGGCAAAATTGCCCTCTTATTTAAGTCTTGACCTCTGCAGCTGTCAAGGAATACAGATGTGAAAAAAAAAAGGATTTTTTTCAACATACTTTAAGAATGTTGTTGCCACACACTCTTGCTCTAGAAAAATAGTCAATAAGTATTTACAATCTGCAAGTTTTACTCAGCAAAGTTGCTTGCATGCTTCATTGTGTGACAACCAGTATATTTAAAGGTATATAAGTCATCTTAGCATGTATTGATCAGAATTTCGTACATAAACTGCATAGCTTTTATTATGCCTTTCCTTAAAACATTGCAGATATACACCAATGTAATAAAAATGCAATATGATTAATAAAATTGAAGAGAGTTTAGAAACGGTGGGTCTAGTTGTGCCAGGATTGCTTACGAGAGCACAAGTTAGTCATGCAGCTCATCCTACTGTAGTTAACGTGATCCATATAAATAACACACCATCAGAATAAAATTATCGTGCACGTAAAAACTGTCACTGGTGTGACATGGGTGAGCAGGAACATCAGGTCATTGGAAACAGGCTGTAGGGTTTCAATTAATAAAATCCTCCATGACATGCTTGACCAAAGGGTTTCCTAAGTTCATGTAAGGTATACCTTAATGTGTGCTCTTATGCCTCTCATGGTAGAGAATAAGAAACACTTATGTATTGGTATTAAAAATCTATTTGTGGGGCATTCCTGGGCAGGTACTTCAGGAGGAAGGAGCTGAGTGAAGCCCTAGACATCAAGAAAGATGCGGAAGAACTGGATGCCCAAGATGAGGAAGAGGACTTTTCTGGTAGCCTCTGTCCTAATGTCAGACAAAAACTTTGGGAAGTTTTGGAAAAGCCTGGTTCCTCCGCAGCAGCCAGGACTTTCGGCACTCTATCCATGGCTTTTGTTGTTGTGTCCATTGCCAACATGGCTTTGATTTCGGTAGAGTTAAGCTGGCTGGCACCGCCGCTACTGGATGCCCTAGAGTACTTGTGTATTGCATGGTTCACTGTGGAGTTTGTTCTGAGGTTCCTGTGTGCACGGGATCGGTGTCGCTTCCTAAGGAGCGTGGCAAACATCATCGACCTCCTTGCTATTTTACCTTTCTACATCACCCTGCTGGTAGAGAGCCTGTGTGGTGGGGAGAGCTCCCAAGAACTGGAAAACGTGGGGCGCATTGTCCAAGTGCTGAGACTGCTCAGAGCCCTGCGGATGCTGAAGCTGGGAAGACATTCAACAGGTACTTTCAGCCTTGGCAGTGAAAGCTCTCATTCCTTCTACCAACAGCAGTTGTCCCTGCACATAGTCCCTTATATTGCCCGCCTTTCTGCCTTATTTTCTTATACAGTGTAATGTTATCAGTAATGGTTTGTGAAGCTCTTACTTTCGGACATAGGTAATTGTGTGGCAGGAGCCTTCTCCCATAAATTTTAGTTCTCCATAAAGCCAGTATATATAGTTTGCATAGAAAACTTACAGAAAACAGGCCCCAAAGCTGCATGCTGTAAATCATTCAACAGTCTCTTACGATGTCACTAATTTGCAAACATTTGTAATTGACTTGGTTAAGAGGGAAGCACAGGAAGAAACGGTAAGTGATCATCATTGACCAATGCTTTTTGTATTGTCAGAGTTTTACAAGTGACAGCTTATAATCACCTATCACAATTTGTTACACTAAAAGTTTATGCAAATACATGTATCATGATTTTGTCTACATCGCAGATCCTGAAAACAGACATCCACTGTTGAATACATCATATTTCTAGAAAACTGTTTAAATTAAATCATACTGTGCAAAGGGTTGGTGGGCTTTCTGGCCCTTTTGAACACATCGGTATCTATATGACATGTTGAACACAGCTGGGAGTTGCTTACTAAATCGGCAGTAGGTACAGCACAGAGTGATGATGTTGGGCTCAGTCAGCATTCACCTGTTGATGTGGGGCCCTTCATGCCCAAGCTTTGCTGGCAAGTGTCAGGAGACACAGATGAACAGCAGGCAGGAGAGTGGTGGATGGTAGAGTGCATTACTGGGAACGTACGGGTTCACTCTTCCTAAGTAGTGTAGGAAAGGTATGAAAGAATGTTTTCAAGTGGAAACTTATCAGAGGAAGATGGAAATATTCAGAAGGTCTTGTGTTTCCCCCATTTTGTATTACTACTTAATGTGCATGCCTGGATATCTGAAATAATAAAAGCAATACTCTCACCACACCCTGCCTATGCTGTGATGTTACCCAGTGCTTGTTATTTTCTAAATGATTTAATTATGTTCCCACTTGAATCAGTGGTGAACATGGCACTGAATTTGACAGAAGAAAAGTTCTGCCAAAACTTGGAGCTTTGAAAAATCAGATCCCAATAGTAAATTGTTGTCTCTGTTCTGTGATACTGGCCTCTTCTGAAGATGATGATAATCATCCTTACATGGCATTCAAAGTAATCCTTCCTGCATTTCTGAATGGTTGATGCTTCATTTTTTGGAGAGCCATCTCCATCCTCTTTATGAACTGGCCCCACTTCAGCAGGAATTATAGCAGGAGGATGCCTCTGATTTTTGTTCCCGTTGAAGAGCCGTGAACCTGCGTACCAATTGCAGGGAACAGCTTTAATACCACTGAGCGTAATGATAGTGGTTTGAGAATTATCTTAATCTTACTCCTCCGCTCTAGATTGTGCCTATACCAATGCATAACTGTCCCTTAGAGAGAAGTTGAAGGGAAGCAGATAGTGATTCAGTCTGTCAGGGAGTTTGCTTTGCTTCATCGTAATTTTTTTACAGTTCTTGTTTTATACAAGGAAGCCTGCTACCCACTTTCAATGGTGGCAGTAATCTGAATGTATTCCTCTGCAGTTCTGTTTTGAAAATAAGCAAAAGATTTGAACACATCAAGGCACTTTTGTGCTAAATAGCAGGGTTGTGGTCCAGAAGTATGTTGTTTCCAAAAGTTTTCAGTTCATCAAACTGTTACAGAATGAATGCATGAAACTCAGTTCTAAAGCTCTTCTGTCAGCTTGAAACCGTGAGTTTCAGTTGTCTGTAAAATAACAGTTAATGTTAGGTGTGTTACCTTTCAGAGGTGGTGTGAACTTTAGTGCCTATTTATTTTTAAAGTTAAATTCATTAAAATGCTACCGTAGTTTATTTCATAATATTAAGTGGTGTTAAGAGTGGAATAACTCATTTGCCATGTTAGAAGAAGTGAATTAATGATATCAAAATCTAGTCTCCTACTTTGGCAGTGAACTATCATCTTTATTCTGGAACTGAAATACCTGTTTCAGCATTCAAGAAATGGCTTACATCACTTAAACAGTTCAGAACAGCATTACTGTTGCTGTGCTTGCTTCTTTGGTAGTTCAGAGTTGTTAGCCATGTAGGAGGCCCAGAACACTGTATCAATTCTGGCTCTTTTCTGTATAATTTAAATGTAGAAAGTCATGAATTCAGTTTTCTGTCAGAGAAGATGCTGCTACTAAGACAAAACATAAACCTAATAAAACAGAAAAATACACTAACAGATCTGAAGTCTGGTTTCTGACCATTAGAGGTTTGTAGTAGAAGATAGTTGTGCTAATGTGGTTCTAAACACACCTTAAACCACAGCTTCTAGTGTAAGATGAACTCCGTGAGTACCATACACAGAGACCATCCTGCTCATACATACCTGGGTAGTCCTGATAAATGTCAGTGCCTAGGAGTGGCACTCGCAACTCTTCTGTGCTCATGCCGTAGGCAGCTTAAAACTGACTCCCGCACTCTCAGATCAAAGCTTCATGCACTGCTCACCTGCTCTGTGTGGCAAGAGGAGTGCAAGATCAGAAGAAAAGAGATGAAAAACATTGTAGCTGCTGGAAGCAACTCCCCTGTCACCAAGGAGGGACGATCACAGTCACAAGGAGGACATCTCTGTAGTACAGTGCAGACCCCTAGCAAAGCTGGGATCTCAACAGCAGTGTGGTTCTGCTATCAGAGGCAGAAATGAGTTCAGAAAAATCATAAAGGCAATTCTTTTTTTTCCCCTTTATTTTTAAAGAAATGGCAGATAAACCCTATTTATGGAGAAGTGAAAGAAAAATGGAAGCATCATTTCTGCCCCTTTAAAAGCTGAACTATGCTATTAGGATAGATGCAGTACATAGAAACACCTAGGCTAGACTGGAGCAAGTGTTAAATTATTTATGCAAAGTGCTGTATTTTGTCAAGGAACAACTGAGAAATTAGAAATACCTATCTCCAGAAAATATATAGCTAGAGGGTGAGACGACTTCTGAGATACACAAATGATGGATTTGAGTAGGTGTAGGAACAGGTGAGAACTGAACCTACATTTTTCACAATCTCTGGTGCACCTCAGCTGTAGGCTTCCTTCTGGGGCCATGCCTGTGTGCTGGTCCTCCTCTGGGAAGCACTTAGAGATTTACTCCTTGAGGAGAAGTAGAATGTGAGCATCTTACTTGTGATGGCAGTGGACTTGTTCGAGAGAAGGCTGTAGCATGTGTCAAGATGAGATGCTTCTGGATACACGAGAAAGTAAATCTTCAGCATTTTCAGAATTCTGTGCTAAAATTTTAAGATGGTTTAAAAGCTGTGTTTAAACTGAAGCTCCTGAAAATGAGCTTGTATTATCAAGTCCATCTGGGCAACAAACAGGTGGAAGTTGACATGCATGGCAGAAAAGCCTCTCCTTCCTCCTGCTGGTCCCAGGTCTGGGGCTGCTTGTTTGCCCTATGCTGGGTACCACACTGGTTCTGTTACAGCACCGTAGCACCTTCCAGCATGGCTATCCAGGCTGTCATAGCTCCTGGTGAGGAGCTGTTACAGCTCTGTGCTTGAACAGCCCTAGTTTGCTGTGTGCTGGGGCTGGAGAAAGAATTTTTAAACGTTACTAGACAATAGAGCAGAAGACATTATTCTTCTGAATGCACCGATTCCCATTTAGAATGAGCTGTGAAGCCCAGTAAGTTGTCTGATTCATAGATTCAACTGAAAAAGTCTCCTGATTTCATCTGAAGACCTGAAGAGATGGAGAACCACAACTTCGCTGATAATTCGTCAATGTGATATAAAGTGGTAGCAGTCACAGCCCTGTTCCTGCTTATTTAAAGTTTATGAGAGTTGTGCTGTTTGTTTTAGCTGCAGTGTTCTCAAGATCCATTGAAAAGAGCAAAGCCTGGCTTTTATAGTACCTATCCGTGCTTTAAAATGAAGTGGTACAGAGAGTTTTAAATTGGAGTACCTTATTCTTAGGTCACTTGAAAACTGAAGAAAAATTCTACCTTGATTAGTGTGAAGTTTTACATGGCAGGGGATGGTAGTAACTTCCTTGGAAAATGAGAACTTGGTCTGGATGCTTGCAGTTGTCCCATTCACAGCTTTTGCACTGCTGATCTTAGTATATTTTCAAAATCTGGAGGCAGTCATATTAATAGCAAAAAGATTACTCTGATAAATCATATTTCCCTTCTGCTGCAAAACTAACCTAATAGCACTGTAATAAACATCCTACCCAACAGACCGTAGTTGTAGCAGGATAAAACATGGATATGAGCAAGTCCTTAACTGGAGTTGGTAGAAGAAAACTTTGGAAAAGGAAACATTCTCTACAACATCTAGTATGTAGCTCCATGATTTGCTGTACATAAACAAAAACTTTAAAACTCATTAAACATAAAGGGGAAAAGAAATAGAGCCAAAAGCAAGAAGAAATTTTAACTTCTTTTAGTTTGAGATTGTGGAAAGTAAAGCGAATCAAATTGCTCATTATTCCCAATGAGCATGTGAAGTCTGCAAGCAGAGGCAGAGCTCCAGTAAGCCATTATGCAAACATTGCTTCAGTTACAAGTGTACTCCGTGAAGGGTAATTGATAAGCATCATGGTTTTCTCTTTTACTACGGGAAACAGCATCTTCTTAAAGAACAGTGTTAAAAAGCAATCCAAAATCATTAGTTATTCAGAAGATAATTTCAGTTTCCAATGTGTTTCAACTGAGCTGGTGCCTTGTTATCTTCCTTCTTTGTTTATGCGAGGTTTTTATCCATTGCACTGTTATTGGATTTACTTTCCTGCTTGCTTTGTCAGGCAGCCTGGCCTTGAGGCAGCAGCTCTGAAAGGAATGTGGGGCATTACGGAGTGCAGTCAGCTGCACACGGGCTCCCTGTGCGACTCATGGGCAACGGGACTGATGCAGTACATCAGTGAATTAGCAGGAGAATGCATTTGCATTGGGAGGCTTTGCTATCTCCAGTTTGGGCACAAGTGCAGCTACTGCTGAACTGATGCATTTGTTTTGATCTCTACAGATAAATATGTTGATAGGCTGGGAAGAGAAAGAGAGATCAGAGAGGCTGTGAGAACTGTAAAAGGGTTGCAAATGGTGCTTAGCAAAGAGGGTAGTGTGACAGAGTTAGGCTCCGAGTACCCACCTGGGAACATGAATTTGACAACAGAGGGCTGTTTGGTCCAAGAGAAAAATGTGACAAGGGCTGGAAAATACAGTTTGGCACATTCAGACTGGAAGTAGAGAGCAGATGTTTTTAGTGTTTTTAAATGGTTATTTAGGTAACGTAATAAAAATTGTGGTAGTTCCTCCATTATGGCCAATTACTAGATAGAGATTTAGTAATAATAAATAAATAGAGTAATTTTCTAAATGTCGTATGTAGTTCAAATGATAAGTAATAAGGAGGATTCATATGCTCTGTTGTAAGGAGACTGGGATAACGTCAGTGGTTCAATCTAATATTTTATAAAATCACATTTTCCCAGTATTTTGAGAGCTGCACCCCTTTTTCCTAAGACGTATTCACTAGCAGTCAAAGCAAAAGTATAAAACAGTCAGCTTTTAAATAACAGATATTTCACAAACTTCTGAAGGCAGCTGCATGAATCAACCTACTGACAGCGTTTCTTGTCTTTCAGGCTTGCGGTCCCTTGGAATGACTATTGCACAGTGCTACGAGGAGGTTGGCCTCCTGCTGCTCTTCCTGTCCGTAGGGATCTCTATATTTTCCACTGTGGAGTACTTTGTTGAGCAAGGTGTGCCAGGCACAACTTTCACAAGCGTGCCTGGTGCTTGGTGGTGGGCGACAACTTCCATGACAACTGTTGGTTATGGTGACATTAGGCCAGACACCACTATTGGTAAGGTAGTGGCCTTTATGTGTATCCTGTCAGGAATACTAGTTTTGGCTTTGCCAATAGCTATCATAAACGACCGGTTTTCTGCCTGTTACTTTACACTGAAGATAAAAGAAGCTGCTCTCCGGCAGCGTGAAGCTTTAAAGAGACTCACGAAGAACTCATCCAGTGACTCAAATATCAATGTGAATTTGCGAGACATATATGCACGCAGTGTCATGGATATGTTACGGTTAAAAAGCAGAGAGAGAGCAAGCACACGGAGCAGTGGAGGAGATGATTTCTGGTTTTGACTTTTAAGTTATTTAGCCTTGTATAGCAAACAGACTGCTTCAAAAATGTAGTGTTAAGAATCTCTTTTTTATTATTCACCACATAGTGTATTTCCTTTTCCATATGGAGTTTGACTTATTGGACAGACTGATACAGCCAGTGTATACAAAGGAAGAATTCAAAATATGAAAACTCTTAGGGGGCTCAGAAACCTGATCCCAGAACTGGATGTTGGTGGGTAAGAGGGGAGATAATGGGTCCATCAAAGTAAAGCAGTGACACAAACACATCTATGAATCCAATGTCCTTGCTAATGTATAATAATAAAGTCTTAGCCAAAATTGCCGTGGTGTTTTGAAGTTTAAAGACGTATAAGATTTGTATTTACAGTAGAAAAACAAAAGTTAGAGAATAAGCAAATCTGAAAAGAGAAGTCTAAGGAAGTAGAATGTTGAATAAATTTATGATGACATTCCCATCACATTTTCTACTTCATTTGCATGAAAATGAGGATACAAGACCCTGGAGGGGGGGGCGGGGGGGATTTTTTTTCATTTCAGGAGAAGCAAATGGCTACCAAATTCATGGTGGGTATCAAAATATAGGTGAAAGTGTTAAGTTACAGGAGCTAATATGGCCTTTGTAGCATGCCTTCTCCTTGTGTTTTGATTCTCATAACTTACTTGTGCAGCTAAGCAGATTTTGTGCTCAAGTGAAGTCACCAGTGGATACCAGACAAAATAGAAATGGTAAAAGATAACACATTACTCATTTCTCTGTCTCCTGTTAAAACCAGTAAGTATACCAGTAAGCTGACCACATTTAAAATAAATGAATAATCTTCCAGTAGATTAAATCAAAAATCACAAACCTCTATCATTTCATTTTCAGCAATGTAAGCACAAGCATTATTTATATTTGACATTAATTCAACATACTTCCTAAGATGAGACATATATTAGCTGTGGATTATTTAATTTGATCATGAATTTATGTATTTAGAAGGCTTAGACTACCTTTGAGTATATATGAATTGGTAAAATGCTTTTAATAAATATTGCATAACACTTGTTTTGAATTAAGAGTGTGTTTTCCTCCTGTTCCCTGTAAACATAATACAGAAAGCAAAAAATTTCAAAGGCTCCAACCCTGATGCAAACCTCATTGAATTTCAGCTTCTAATTTGTCAGCTGATATCAGTCAGCATTTGGATTTGGGATCAATGCAGCACCTGCAGTAGTCACCAGAGGCAGGAGGAAGCCGAGTTAAAATGTTAGAGACCATAAGAGTTGTCTTTCTCTATCAGAAATGGACTAGGTGTGAAAATTCATAGGTCAGTCTTATGGTCTGTGTTACACAGAGATCAAACTATGTTATCGTAGTTTTCCTTTCTGCCCTAATGTTCTATAAATCCATGACAAAACTCCCATGGATGTCCAGGAGACAAAACTGATTCCACAGGGAAAGGTTTGATGCAGCCCACTCTAGGTTGTTATTTCATAGCTCCTTTGAGCAGGAAGTCTCTGAGCTGCACAAATTGTACAGGCTGTTTCTCATTCAAAAGTCATTCTAATTATAGAGAATTAGGAAGAAGCTTTCATTGTGGGAAGACTGTTTTGTAATGTCTTTTGTGCTTTCTCGTACAGCATCTGATCTCTGTTTGAGAAAGGAAATGCAGTTAGATAGATGACTGATTCTCTTTAGGGAAAGGCTGCTTTTATTGCATCCTGTGTTTTTTTTATGAAGGACTCAAAAGAATGAGAGAAATGTTCTGGGATGTATCACTTGATTCACTCCTTTCAGCAGGTCTGGAGATAAAGTTTCCTAGAAATGCCCATGAGGAAATGTGGCTGAGACTTTATCAAGTAGCTGCTTCAGCTTCTATTTTCAGACTTCTTGATTTTAAATTCAAAGTCTCCAAAGAAGTGTTTGTCAATCATGTTTTTTTATTCAGCAAAGCAGTCTGTCACATTATGGGCTCAGACTAACAAATCATTTTGCGGATGAAGGTCAGTTCTGATTTCAGCTCTTACAGACAGGACCAGAGCATTCATACTGAGCACCAAACAGCACAGGGCATTACAAAGCTAGAACATGAATCTATGTCATTTACCTACTGCCACAAATTTGGAAATCAGCTCTTTTGTCACTAAGGCACCATATTAAGGATGTTACTGTGCTATCTTTAGAGTATCACGCTGAAGTTAAGTATGAAACTACCTCTTGTCCTCACATCTGTTCTGCCATTTCCATCACACATCAGACTTGGCAGAAAGGATCATGTGTCAGAACGTCAATAATGTCCCCATTTTAGCTTAAAACACTAAGCACTTCCAAAAACCATCAATAAAGGTGAGAACCGGCAAAACAGGAAACACAGGGACATGCTGGAGAAAGTCCAGCAAAATACTGGAGTGCCAGGCTGCAGAGACCATTGGGGAACCGCTGTATCCAGGAGAGGTGGGACATATGGGAAGATTTATAACTTATATGGATAAGTTATAGAAAGGTATTTAGAAATCTGTGTTCAATAATATTTCACAACCATTTAATAACATGATTTACTTGTTGTATTATGGATATTGATCCTGAATGCACAATTCACTGACCATTGGTTAAGTCTGTGTTGTTAGTAAGTCAATAAACCACTTCAATCTTGATTTGATATAAGCTATGTAAGATGAGCAGTGTTCCCTTAGGACAGGAGTTTTCCTGGGCAACTCTGAGCTTGTGAGATTGCCATGTGGTGGATCTGATTGAGCTTAAAAAGGAGCACACAGAAGAAAGCTATGAAGTCTTTTACATATAATGCCCGTTTATTTTTGTTTTCTGACATTAAAGATACATGTATTCTCATCTTGACATTATCTTGATAATGAGTAACATAATTTTCTCATTTTCTACAGTATTGTCCTCTCAAACCTCCAGTGAAGTGTACATGCATACCCAGAACTCTGCTAGAACATTTTCTGTTGAGATGACCACCATCTAACGTGAATTAGAGCAGATGTTGCTGATACAGCTGGTGCCTGATTTTCTGTGCTGTTGTCCGCTCTTATCATTGTAGAAAGAGCAGGGCAGCAGCACAACCCTTAGTCACACCTCTAATTGCAGACAAGGGATCTCCAGGGCTCTGGGCTCTTGGAAATGTCATTCATCGAACAGAAGAGTTAGGGTCAATAATTTTGCTAGGGTTGAGAAGCAGTTTTCCATTTTAACCTTACCTCAATTTATTTTTCCAATTTTTGAGAGCTTTAACCATCCAAATAATTATTGCAGTTTTGCCTTTAACACTAGAAAACACATACCCTGTGGAAGCAGAGCTTCCATGCACTCAGTTCATAGAAATTTTATGAGGCATTTTATTGGTGTAATGAGGTTGACCTGATGAGCAGTCAGTAGTAAAAGCCATTCCTTCAGAAAATGTGTTTTAATGAAAGGCTAAGTTGAAGATTTCCTTTATAATTAGCTTTTGTTGTTGATACATGAAATAGAGTCTTTTCTGACAAAACTTGACCCCAGTTTGTAGGGTGGGCACTTCTGCTAGAGGATGTCCCCATCAGCAGGTGGGATAGAACAGACTGTTTTGTGTGTGCCTCTCAGATGGGCTAGAAAAGTGCACACCCCTTCTCCCAGGAAAACATGAATGCAGTTTGTTGCAGGTGGCTATGTTATAGTATTTCTATGTGAAATGAACAATCAAAAAAATCTGTATTAATAACAAACCTATTTAAAGGCGTTTGGGCCACTATTTTTTGTTGTACTGATGCTAAATTAAAACTACGTACAGATGCATATTATAATCTCAGAAAATCATGCCTCTGTAAAAAAGCTTCCAAAAGTGAAAACATCTTCCTTGCCAAACAAAGCAAGACCCTTGGAGATACAAGGTTTCCTCTAATTACATCTAATTTTGTACAGCTTTTAATAAAACTAAACCTGCTGGTAAGTCATGTAGCATCACTGTGTAGTCCTGCAACCAACACATTCATTTCACTTCCAACATCCTGACTCAGAAAGGCAGTTCTCTCCCCAAACTGTGCAGCAGAGATAAGTCCCGAGAAATGGATGAAGTAAGCGTGACTCCCTTCATTAACTGCTGCATGCATCAGTTTCTGAGGAGATCTGCGAGGAGAATTCATAAATTCCCATTGTGATTTTTGCCAAAAGTACATACAATAAATTCTTCTGAATTCTTCTTCTAAAGTCATTTTTTCAGCATACCTGAAAAAGACAATTGGCTTGAAAATAGTTAAAGGATAACTAATGATGTCATTTTTTATAGCAGGCACTGTTACAGATTCCTGAACTGAGGCTCTCAGCCTGAGGTACGAAACACATTAGGCAATCCAACAATGTTGAATTATGGAAAAATATTCTGAGATGAATATGTATCTGCTTAAGAACTGCTGTCCAGTGAAGCAGCATTCATAAGCTCACAGTCCTCTTATCCTAAACGAACAACAGTGTTATGGACTTCGGAACATGCTATCAGAAATTACCAGTTACGGGCTCTGTGGGATCCCTCTGTAGCTTTTGTGGTGTGTCAGATGCTGCACTGATAAAAGCTGTTATTACTGAAGCCCAAGCAGACAGATTAAGCCATTATTAATGCTGAATATATAGAAGAAAAATAATGGAAGGTAGAACAGGAAAGAGCAAATTAATTTAAACTTAAATTAATTTTAAGTTAAAATAAGAAGTTGAAATACTTCAGCTGAGATATACCAGTGGCTTTTTGTGACTGACTATGTGTTTTACCTCTCATATCTTCTCATGAGAAATGAAGTACACATGGTTCAGTGCAGAGGAAGAAATTATTTTCATCTCATTAACTGACATGCATCATACCACAAATTAGATCACATTCATTATTCATACCTCATCCTCCCCATTCAGCCCTGTATATCAGACATGCCTTCCCCCGAACCATGCATGTGGCTTCGTATTTGCATTATCCTTCTATAGATCAACACCAAAAAAAAAAAAAAAAAACACACAATTTTTATTTATTTGTTTTTTGGTAAGAAATGAACTTCAACTTAAAGGAACAAGATCAGGTTGAATCTATTTCCAGTCCTTGCTATTTGTTATTTCTGCTGTTATTCCTCATTTAACCCTCCTATCTTCTCTTCCTGGCAGTAATTGCTGGATAACAGATGGAAGAATTGCCAATCACAGCCTTTCAGTGTCAAAATGTAGACAAACCTACCCCATAAACCTGTGGTCTGTTTTCTTATATTGGAAACAAAATCAAAGTCGAGAAAGAAGTGCGGTGTTTCTCTCACAGTTACAGGGACAGCATCGATTAGGAATCAACAGAACCCCACTTTTCCAAGTTACTGGAAGCTCTATGCTTACAGCTGGTCAAAGCCAACGTGTCATGTAGCACATCTATTTCGATCAGTAAGAAGTCAGACTTCAGTAACAAATAAAAATGAGTATGGTTCTGAGAAAATACTCGTCTACTGGGTTCAGAAAGCTTATATAATTTGTACTGCAATCAAGCCCAAGAGGCAGGATACCACAGTACAAGAGTTTCACTGAATCATAATATAGCCTTTTCCTAAAAACCCTGCCATCCAAATGTATAGGACAAACCAAACCCTATATTCAATTTGACTGTAAAGTTTTACCAAAAAGCCTTCATAGGGTTTTGTTGTAAGAATAAAATTGACAAGTTCCCCACATCAGACCTACTGATGCAATGGAATTATACCAGGATGAATTTGCCCACTTTCCAGCCAATGCTCTGTAAGTCTTTGCTGTGTGGCTGGGCCACAAGGACAAAAACCAACATCCAGACTGTGATCTCTTATGCAGGCTGCCTCCTCACATATGGAGATGAACCCAGTTTGCTTGTGCCAAGAATCACAGTGGAAATACCAGCAGACTGAGCTAACAAAATGCCACTGGCCATCATTATAGCATGGAGGTTGTGTTGTGCTGCAAATGCTCCCATCAGCAGTCCAGCAGGAGATTTGATTAGAACAGATGTGATGACACATAAGCCAAAATAAAATGGAAGGAGAAAGCTCTTACCCTCACCTATCACCAAGACTTCAGTCTGGTTCAGAA